TCCCTAATATACACCAAACCCAAAAGTGACCACTGACAGACTCTGTTTACTGCAGTTTTTATGCTGTCATTATGGAAAAACTATAGCAGAAAGTTCACCAACTTCCCTTTGGAAAGAGACATACAACCACGGCCAATAGGCTTTCCTAAAAGACAGCAGGGGCTTTTCATTCGGACTTGTTTCCCATCCATAACATACAAATAGTTATTGTTCAGGGCCAATACAGCCTTGCAAATACACAGGCTTTGAGTTATACCAAGCATGCTCATCCTTATATGGTATGTCCATATACGAAATACAAAAGAAATGTACCACAAAATGATGGTATATCAGGACATGGGCAAGGCTCTGTTTCTGTGGTATAGCGTCCTAGGTTTCATAGGATTCCATAGGAGGCAGCTACAAGTTCAACATGCAAAGCTCTGAAATCCCTTCCTAAGCTAATGAAGTGAAGCCCTGACCGCACCAAGGAAAGGGACAAAACAGAATTCATTTATTGTTTCTCAAAATATGCTACCAGCTCTTCAAGCCACCATTAATTTTAGCATCTTTAAAGCTGTAAGAACAATCTGTGTAACAAATGAACACTGCCTATAAAGTCAGTGCTTTACATCTCAAACCCTTATTATATGGAAATTCGTATTTTCATAATCACATTAAAGTTTAACGCGCTATTCATTATAAGATTAAAGGGCATGAATTATTCTGTCTGTGTAACAAATGGAAATTGAATCATGATAATTTTGTACTTTTTTCTTCTTAAAATGATAATTCCCTTTCTCCTTTGGCCTGTGAACCACGCTTCAACAATACACCTTACCTTATAAAATAAATGATCATATATAGAATATATATTTTATGTGTAATATAGTTATACATGATATACTTATATATTATTTATATATTATATAAAATAAATATATGTCCATGTTGTCATATATTTATATAGGATATAAATATTTATATAAAATCTATATGTGATATCTATTTAGAAGTATAATATATAAAATATATATAAATATAATATGTGAAAATGGATATATAAATATATAACTATACAAATAGAGATTATTTATATTTATATAAAACTATACATAGTTTTATATAAATAAACAAATAGTTGCTATTTGTTGGGAACCCTCCTTCCCTCCCTCCCTCCCCACCATCAGAGAACAGAGTCACTGGGATCATTTTGCAACACATTGGATTTATTGACATCAGCATGGGGGCGCCCCCCTGTGCTGGTGAGACCTCCGCGGTCTCCTGGTGACTGGGCCTGAACTTAGTTGCTGCTCTGGGATGTGGTACTGGAGATGGTGATCACGTCACTCAGCGGATCCTCCAGCTGGGTCTCCTGGCTCAGTGGGTCGTGCTCGCTCACTGGCTCCTCGTTCACAGGCACCTCGCACGGAGGAAGCTCCTGGCTCGGCGGCTCGCTGGGCCAGGGTGGTGCTGGCCCGCTCCCTGCCTCAGGGGTTCCCACGGCTGCCATCTTTTTCCCAGCGGCACGTTTCTTCCTGCCTCTCCCTGCAGGACCCGCTTTTCCTCTCTTCCCCGCCTTGGGCGCCTGGAAGGACAACAGGGAGATCACAGTGGGGCTCTGTCCGGGTCAGGGGAGAGGATGGAGGAGGCTGGGAACAGGGACATTTCCTGAGAAGCGATGAGGGCCGGGCTGGGGTTGTGCCAGGTGAGGACAGGGCAGGAATCTTGAGGAAGGAGTCAAGGGGAAGACGAGGAGGAGCTTGGGTGGGTTGCTCACCTTCTTCGGGGTACTGGGCCTGGCCTCAGAGGAGGACTTCCTCTTTCGCGTCTCCCTGGCCTTGGCCGGTGGTCCCGAGGCTCTGGTCTTTGGGGCCATCTTGCTCAACTCAACGTCTCCAACGTCAACGTCAGGCTGCCTGGTCTACGTGTACGTGTACGTGCCCCTCGTGGGATCCCGGGCCAATGCGGCGACCACGTCCCTGAGCTTTGATTGGTCAGCATGCGCCACCCAGCCAATGGTAGCCCTGGGCGGGAAGGACGGGCTTAGACGTCACACGGCACCATCAGGACATGGCCGAGGAAGTGTGTGTGGAGGGGGGGAGGGGTGGCATTTGATGAGGAAGGCAGGATGCTGTGGTTGGAGAAAGGGAGATTATGGTTAGCACTCCTAAAGATAGTTCCCAAACTGACATGTCACCCCTCTTAACCTCCCCATGTTCAATTTTGGCAGATCACGTGGCACGGGAGGATAACTGCCTCCAATAAGGCCATGATTTCAGGAATGTTTAATTGAAGTATTTCAGGCCATTAAAAGTCCTCTTTCCTGCCACATGGCTAAATGGGCATGTACTGCATGAAACACATTGGCCGAGTCTGTGTAAATATTAAGCCTCATGCCTGCCCCTAATTGTAAGGCAGGGGTAAGAGCAATGAGCTCAGTGTTTTGGCTGAGGTGGTATTTCCTGGCAGAGGTCCAGATTCTTTGACTTCAGTTAGGCTAACAGTAGCATACCCTGACAGTTGGGTTCCACCTATCATAAAGCTACTGCCTTCTGTGTATCATGTGGCCTCTGGATCTATAAGGGGAGTATCCTGGAGATCTGGTCTAACATTACGGGTTAGACCTATGGTTTCCAAGCAAGAATATTTAAGTGGTCCCTCCACATTTGGGTCTGGTAACAGAGTGGGAGGATTAAGGGTTGGCAGGGTCTAATACACAATTCTGGTGCCAGAAGGAGTGTTGGAAATTTCCTCATATGGCTATCTGAGATCCAGTGAAAGGCCTTTGAGTTTAGGACATTCGTTACTTGATGCGGGGCATAGACAGTTATTCCTTGGCCCAGAGTTAGCTCAGAGGCCTCCACAACCAGGAGAGCCACAGATACTAGCACTTAGAGGCATGGCAGCCACCCCCATGCCACTGGGTCAAGGGTTTTTGACAAGTAACTAATTGGCCACTGGAAGGGTCCCAGTGGCTGAGTGAGGACTCCAAGGGTTATACCCCTTCTCTAAAGTACAAACAAATAAAGAGGCTTTCTAAGATCTGGCAAGGCCAGGGTGGAGGTGGTGGTGAGTGCTTGCTTGAGGGTTTTTAGAACATTTTCCATTTCAAGGTTCTAACTTAAGATTCCTCCCCCTGGCCCTTGTAGTGCCTCACAAAGAGGTTTTTCTATAAGTCCAAACTGGGTTATCCAAATGTGACAGAAACCTACCATTTCCAGAAAAGACTACAACTGATGTTTAGTGGATGGAATGCCCATGTTTAGGATAAGATTCTTGCAGTCTTCTCAGACACCCTTGGACCCTACGATTAATGTTAGCCCCAAGAATCGAACCTCCTGAGAGAAGATTTGAGCTTTGGAAAGAGAGACTTTATAACCACAAAGGGCCAATGTCTGAAGAGTTGTGATAGTATTTACGTCTGAGGCATTTTTGGTTAAACTTCAAATAAGCAGGTCATCAACATATTGAAGGACTGCTTGAAGCTAGGAGTTTGAGACCAGCCTGG